GGAAAGAGTACTGGACCAGCACAAGTATATTTTTTCTGGATTTGTTCTCTATATAATTTCAGTCTCTTCTCCAACTATAACTAAATGGCATCCCCAGTATGGTGCCACTAAACCACACAGATGGAAGCAAATATTTGTCTGCAAGCAAACAGAAATTTGAAAGTATTTAGAGTTTACTATCTCAATTCTGCATATTAAATTAGGCTTTCTAGACTTACAGATCAGTAAAAAAAGAAAAAAAAAACAACAAAAACAAACCACCAACAACAAAAAAAAACCCCAGAAAAATGAATAATGGAAATATAGCCTAAAAAAATAATTCTTTTTTTTTCTCTTCAGGGTAAACCAAGACCTAAAATCACGTGGATGAAAGATGGTCAAACTCTAGACTCCAAAGATGTGGGAATTCGGAACAGCAACACAGACACAATCCTTTTCATCAGAAAGGCAGAGCTTCATCACTCAGGAGTATACGAAGTCACTCTTCAGATAGAAAACATGACTGATAAAGTCACAATAACAATTCAAATTGTAGGTAAGAACCTGGCAACATCAAAATAAAGCATTTCATACAAAACAAAACAGTGGCCATACTGAGGCAATCTGAAGATCCAACTACCTCAGAATCCCTTCTCTGAGAATGGTTCATAGCAGATAACTAGGATGAAGCTCAGAGCAGGGCTAGCACATTACTTTATTTTCCTAGTATATTTTCCCAGCTTGAAATTATCTGTGTTCTAGAGACTTTCAGAAGGAGAGGGATTATCTGTGTGTCACATAGCTCTTGAGGGATTTTTTTTCTTGCATTATTTTTATCCAGTCAGTTTTTTAATCCAGGTCTAGTTTCAGAATCTAAATATCCTTTTGTAAGGAATTTCAGTTTAAGTGCATGTACAGCTACCTATTTGGTTTGAGTTTCTCTCCTGATAATCTCATTTGATGTTCGTACAGTTCGTATCAGAAAAAACATGAATAATCATTTATTCACCTTTTCCATGCTACTCATGATTTTCTAGCCTTCAGTCCTAGTCTCCTCAGTTAACTTTCTCAAGATTTAGACTCATTATTTTCAAAAACATGCCATTCTGTATCTTTGATAATCTTTATCATCTGTCTTGTTACCACTTTGAGAATGACAGAAAGAATCTGAGAGTTCTGGTGTTCTTCGGAATAGCCATATTGTCCTCAGGAAAGGAAATATGAATCCTGGAATGGATATACTCTTACTGTGTTTCTTCAGCAGATAAGGACAGTGAAGATAAAATCATTGCACTAATATACCTCTACTGTTCTGAGAATTAGAAATGACAAGAAGACAGTCTTGTTATTTTGGAAAATTCATGTTTACTGCCTTACCCTGTTAAGAGTGTCTAGTTAGCTAGAGGCTTAGTGGAGGCTCATGCTCTATTAAACAATTCCTGGTCTCTTTTCTAGTGTCGTTTTAAAGGAACACACTGCCAAAGTTTCAATAACTTCCCTTGGTATTTTGCAAGATATATTCTGAGATCTTGCCTGCTCAGATTTCATTAATGTTCAGCCAGAGCTCTTCTATTTCTCCTCATTACAACCCTATGTACCACTCTTGATAATTGTTTTTATTTCTCTTTCCCCACACTTTCAAACTGTCATCCCAAACTTCCTCTAATGTATCAATACATTTTTAGAATATGTATTTTGGCACAAAAAGAGTATTTAAACATAACTCCTAATGCTTTGGAATTAAACATATAATGCTGACTGCATTCCGCCTAAAGTTTTATAATATAATGTGGCAGAATGGGTACGCAGTGGTGCCAGCAGCAAACAAGAAAAGCATAAAAAATTGGAGCAAATAAATCTTAATACCACGAGCTGCTTCTGCTCAAGATGATGTTCAGTTCTGCAACAGCAAAATAAGTAAACAGCAACTAAAACAAAGTAATCCCAAGGGACTCGGATAAAGAGGAGTAGCACACACTACACACCAAAATATCATTCTAAAACTGGCTAAGGACTCTAGATTTTAGCACATTGCTCTCATACAGCATAGTACCACATACCTTCCACCCATTGTTTGGTACTGTAGAAGAACATAACACCTGCACATAGCATTGTCAAAGAGTTATTTCATATAGAAAATAAATGTCTGAAAAAAAGCAACTAACCTTATCACACAGATTAATATATGTCAGAGTTGGAGGACAGGTATTAAACTTTTTACTTCTTGGGCAGCTTGCTCAACTGAAAGGGAATAAGTAAATTGCATTTAACTCCTAGCCAAGAAGAGAAAGGGGTTGTAACATACACATCTACTTCAATTCTTGATTCTGTCACTCCTTCATCAGCACTACCTCTTTTCAATTCTGCCAACAGCTCTTTTTGCTCTCCCAATTTTATATTCTTTTGGCAGGAGAGAAATATGGGTGATTGAGGCACTCCTATACTGCTAGTAATGCTTTAGGTGCTGTAGAACGGCATGCTGAAAAGCCGAGCCAGCTTTCAGAGATATAATAAATCAATCAGTGATCTTTCGAGGTGTGTATGTTCATCAACTAACCTCCCTTGGCAAATGCCTGCTTGATGAAGGAGTAATGCTTGTAGCTTCAGCTCTTATGTTTTTTTGGAGTAAGGCAAGAATGCAGGTAAACAAAACTCTGCTGCTAAGATGAGTCACCTATCAGTTCCAAACAGGAGGAAAAACTTCTATTACTGCCATCACCTGCCCTCATTGCCAAAACAACTGCTGTGGTTTACTCTACAGACCTACAAATTACGGACTTTTACTATGGGCATACAGTATATTTCAAATACATACAGAAAGGTATTAGATAATGAAAGTATCTCCAATCTCTGAAAAACATGGTTCCCTCAACTTTTTTCTCCCTATACACGAATTAGTAAATGATGCCTTCCATTATGCCCTTTGCTGACCAAAACAAACCTCAGTTACATATTTGTAATTTTAACTGGAATTATTTATTGTTCTATTTATTTATTATTTGAAAATGTAAATTATCATTTCTTTTTGAAAGATAATTCACACTTTAGCTCTTCTTCCCATTCTATAAACTTCAGTAATATGCAAAAATCCTCTGATGAGCTTCTGCTGAGGGCAGCAGAATATTGCCCCCAAATATAAATCCCTACTCTAACAGTATCCTATAGAGAAAAATAATTCACTACAGATGCATCAGTAGGATTAACTTTTCCCATTCTTCTGTTCAAATTACCAGCTGGAGATGTACTGGCTGGTATGAAGAAAGGAATATTCTACAATTCTACAGAGCAATTTTGAATAGATACTCTTGCAGGTTGCATTATCCCATCAAACCAGAAAGATGAAAAATACAAAAATCCATTTAGCGAATTTATCTATCTCTACCTTTTGTAAGGTTGGCCTTTAAAAAGCCTTACAAGTATTGAGGCTTTCAGTACAATCTTTTTCTTTATTCCATCTATACCACCATGGGTAATAATGTATTAAAAATTAAAAAATGATTACTTAATACATAATTGAGTTGTTATCACATTAATCTAATAGCAGGTTAAGGCTTAAATTGTTTTTCTGTTCTTAATAAAGTCATACTCTGAAATTTTTTGCCCACAAAATCATATCTACATCTATGTACATAAACACATACATAAGAATGTCTTAAATACATACATTCCTGAAGTCTAACTCTTCCAATAGAGCACTGGATTAATGAATGATCTGCCATCCCATTGTTTCTAGTTTTGAAGGGAGATTCCCAGGTAACTGACTTTAGGTAACTAGGAGCAATAAGGCACAGGCTTCAACATCTGGCTGTCCAGTAAGGCCTCCCCAAAAAGTGTTCTTTTTCCTTACATTGCACCCAAGACTGTATTTTTCTTCCATTTATCAGTCTCTTCCTCTAGTATTTAAACCAACTACCATCACTAAGATCTCCACAGCTTTTGACACAGCATTGTGCACGCATCCCTTTAAAACAAAAAATGTCCATTGTGTAGATATATCCGTAGGTAAGCACACAGGAAAATTACTTACAAAGCTAGGCAAATACTGTAGAGGGTTATAACAGTAGGCAGACTTGAAAATCATTAACAAATTGCTCAACATCACAACAACTGTTTACCAGAGATTACAACACACTCACTCGGGCCTTGTAGAGCTTTGCCCACTGAGATTTCTAGTTTTCATACCCACACAGGTATTCATACGTAGTATCCAAAATTATTCTCTTCCAAATCAGAACAGATTAATTTATTTCATTATAATGAAGATATACATTTAGAAATATATCTATATTTTTTCTTTTGTGATTCAAGATAACAACAAATATGTTTCCACATCTGCATAAGCAATGTTGCTCGTTTGACAAGATGTCACCATTCCCTACTTCAGAAACAGGGAAGACAAAAAAAAGATGTCTTTACCTGAAGTTGGTAGCTGTTGAGAAACACAGAAGATGGCAGCTTTTCCTCTGAAATGTTAGTGTAAGAGAGGAAGGAAGAGGATGATAAATGGAATGAGAGTAATACATTCCACATTCCTTATTGAACTTCATGCAGTGTTCTAGCTGGCTCCAGTGTTTAGCAATTTGAAGGAGGACATAAAGGGTTAAAGCTCATTATAAAGCAGTCTTTGATTCCTAATTATGGCAGTGAAGAGCAAATTAGCACATTATGCTTTGACATAGAAAGTCACAGTTCCCCTCATGACAGTCAAAGGCTGGTTTATTACTGGTTTGCATAGCCTTCTTTAAGGAATTAAATTACAAGCAATCATCAGATTCTTACTATTTCCTTCATTTTCCAGCTTAGCTACAAAAAGGGGAGACAGTTTCCTTTCAGCTGTCTAGAAGGATCCCGCACTATCCTTCACTGAATCACAAGACCATCTACCCAGGCCTAACAATTGTCTCCCCAGTGGGCCCTGCAACGGTGAACAACAATCTAACATAGCAAAAAGGGGAACTAGCATCTTCAAGTTAAAACAGATAGGAACAATACTTAATAAATCTAATTGAAATGTTACAGCACTTGACTAAACAACATCAGTATAATGATCCTTAAAAGAAGGAAAAAAGAAAACTATTACAATTTTATAAAATATATTCTTCTATATATTTCCAGATATCTTAAAATGGACATAGATTTCTGCACCTCTTTGAGAGTTTGTTCTTTCTAGCTATTACAGAGAAATATCACTAGTGGGCAAGCTAAAAAGCACTGGGGCAATAGGAAAGATAGTCGGGTATATTCCCAAATAGCTGGCCTTCCTTAGCTGAGAGGAATGTATAGCAGTTGCCTTTGTTGTTTCTATTAATCTCAGTGTACCTAAAAGGCTGAGAAATTGCACTGAGGTAACAAATCAAGTAATAAAACTGTAGCAAAAGAGTCAATAACACTCATCCAAACAACATAAACTTCTTACTCTATTTTAAGGATGTGTTTATAGAGTTTACCAGGTTCCTATGTTACTAATCCTACTGGGTGGTCTGTTTCTCAGTGGGTTTCAGGACCCTCAGAAGAGTATTAAGAGAGTATTTGAAAATTTTCCGACTTTACAGTTTCAGCTTGACGTAAATGAAGCGTATTGCTATGGAACAATTATGGATTGCTATCAAGTTCTATTTTTTCCCCTGCATGGGAGGAAATGACAAAGCTCTTTCTCAGATCTTGAACCAAAAGCAAAGAGGTTTTTTTCATGTCTCTTCTGCAGACAAGCCCGGTCCTCCTCAGAATGTAAAGCTTGTGGACGTTTGGGGATTTAATGCAGCCCTGGAGTGGACTCCTCCACAAGATGATGGCAACGCACAGATCTTGGGCTACACAGTGCAGAAAGCTGACAAAAAGACAATGGTAAGAAATTGCATTGAGTCAGTGACTTGTATGGAGTTTAAACCTGCCCTGGGAACACAGAGACTTGAGGAAAACAGACGAATTAATGACTCTCAGTTGTGTGTCCAAGGTGCCCTATAGCATATCGGAGGCAGTTAGACATTGGAGAATAGAATCTAAAAAGAACCAAAAGGCTAAATATAGAACTGTATAAAATGCCTGGTAGGAAATGTAAAAAGAGAGACCTAGCCTGTCCCATCTCTGGTGGTGACTAGACAGATAGCTCTGCTTTCTTTATTTGGAATTATATTTTTCATAAATGTGGGGAAAAACTGAAGGGGAGGGAGGAAGAGTTAGACTTCAACTCAGATGCTGAGCATACTAGGTTAGATACTGGGAGAGGTGTGTATGCCAGTTAAACTGGAAAACACCTTTCTCATGGAAGTCCCCATCAAGTAGTCATGTTCTGAGGACATATCCTGTATCAGGTTTCCCAGATACGAGTAGGGCTAAAATGTAAAGAAGGTTGGGGTTTTTTGTTTGTTTTTCTCAAAATGCAAGTATTCATACATCTATCACACCAGCCAGAAAATAAAAGTAAGAAAACAGATCAGCTGGTCTTCATGGGAAGCAACATAACGTTCATTTTGCAGGCTAGTGTTAAATACCTGTCTACCTGTCTTTTCCTTGTAGCAAGAAGGATCTCTCTATACCAAAACTAGCACCATGTCTGACCTCTCATAGCATCTTTCTAAACAGTATAGTCTCGTTACAGGAATGGTATACTGTTTTTGATCACTATCGTCGCACAAACTGTGTAGTGTCAGACCTGATTATGGGAAATGAATATTTTTTTCGAATCTTCAGTGAAAATTTGTGTGGATTGAGTGAAACTGCTGCAGCCACCAAAAATCCTGCCTATATCCAAAAAACAGGTAACACATTCTTCAAAACAATGATCACAAAAATCACTAAGTACCAGAAGTAATACACTGGTAAATGGAAAAACAGTACCACTAGATGCACCACTAGAGATATTTTCATTACTTAGTAGCTAGCACTTATAAAATATTTTAGCATCAAGATCCCTTGTCTAGGCAGATCTCCTCTACTAACACAAACATTTGTTCAAAAATATTTAATCACACAGTCTTCCCAAACTATACTATTTTAAGAAAATAACACAACTGGGGGGTTATATTTACATTCTGGGGTTAAAAGTTTAAGATGTCTGTGGTGAAGACTTCCCCTGCAGACATAAGGCTTTCATATTTTTAACAGAAGCTGAAAACCCACGATTGCCGGGACTTTTTACTTTAACTAAAGCATTAAAGATATGTTTTAGAGAGAAGTGAATTTATAGATTTGTTATAAATGCCACAACTTTGAAGCTTCTCTAAATCATGCAGGCGAATTAAATGACAAATAGATTGTACACAAGTCAACTGAATTGAAAACACGGTTCTTACTGTTTTGTTTCTTTGAATTGCAGGCACCACTTACAAGCCACCTAGTTACAAAGAACACGACTTCTCCGAACCTCCTAAATTCACTCACCCTTTAGTAGACCGTTCTGTGATTGCAGGATACAACACCACCCTCAGCTGTGCTGTCAGAGGAATCCCCAAGGTACAGATTATATCCACCGTCATTGATACTCTTGCAACAAGCCAAGATGCTGCCTCAGAATTCACGCCAGTTCAGCGTGACTGGAGTGTAACGTGACTATATTAAGAAAATGTAAAGGTCACGCAATTGTCTCCCACCTCGCTCACAACTGATGCTTAACCAGAATGCACGGTGCAAGCCTTTGTGCAGGCGTGCACAGAACCAGTGGGGCAATACAGTACGGGAGGCAGAGGAAAGGACAGTCGTGGATTATGATAACACCATGTCATTGAACATGTACCATGTGTACGTAAAATCTGCTCACTGAAGATCTTGAGTAAACAACAACACAAAAAGGGACCTTCTCACAAAGTACGTTTTGTTCTCTCCAGTCTTTCAAGAAAACAGCAGCTAATGTAATGCACTGTTCCGTTGACCTAAAAGATACACAGGAACACCAGTTCTGTTATGTCAATACATCCACATAAATTTTTGGAAGTCTGAGTTATTTTGCAAAATTACATAGAACAAGACCTGCTGTCATGTGTGAAGTTTTGGGGCTTTTTTTTTTTTTTTTTTTTAAATCTCACAGGAATGTTTTCTCAGTCTAGATTATTTGGTGAAGTCTCTTCAAAGAGCACAGAAAGATGTACTTTTTGTTATTCAGGAACAAGCAGGAAGAACTATATCAGCTAGGAGCTAAAACAGGGTTTCTCAAAAAAAGGGAAATAGCCTTTTTGTCTGCAGTAAAGGGACTTACCATATTGTGACATAATCTTGTCATAAATTTAATTAGTACAATCACTAAAAATGCCGTACCCTTTTCCCTTCCCCTTCTGGCTGCTTATTTCCAGCATGGCAACTGGGATGCACTGAATTGTATATCACAGGTCAAAGACACAAGTGATGCTCTCTATAAAACAGTGCAGTAGTTTTATTTTTTATGGGTGAAGAAACAGAAAATGTTAATTCTGAAAGTAAAACAGATGAACACAGAGCTTGGTCTTCTGCTCTTTAAAGCCTATTTCTTCACTGTGTGTACTAATGAGCTTGAAATAAGCAAAAGCAGTTTGCTTTAGGTCAGATTTTTCATTTTCAAAACTTCATTTATAAAAATTAAAGGCAAATTTTCAGGTACTGGAAACAAAACACAACGGCTTGAATTGGTACAGAGCCAACCACTTTATTGCTCAGCTGAAGCCAACAGGAACTTCACCGTAAAATTCCTGAGGTTGCTAAAGATATGCTAAACAGTTTGGAAAATCCTTTCCCAGCCTAAACGTCAGCATCCCAAGTTGGACACCTGACATCCATGGGCCTTTATGATGCTTCTGCTCTAATAATCTGTGCAGTTTAATCCTCCTTCTGTATGATACTTGAAACATTCAAATATATTTTAATAAGCACAAGTAAATAACTCCTGAAGGAATGAATTTGTAGCTGGTTTGCAGAAGATTTTAAAAATTGCAATAAAATAGGGTACAGACCTACATTCTCTACATGCTATTTGAGAGTTAAAGAAAATGCTGAACATTTGAATTACTAGTTTCAGGAGTTTGTACTGAATGAGGAGAGGTTCCCTGAAAAATTAACACTGCTGTGTAATATAAAGCCCTCATAATGCATAAAGCTTTGATGGCTAAACTAAAGCCATAAGATCAGCCATAAGTCTTCCATTTTCTACCTTCTATTTTAAAATTCTTCTTTTATGTTTTGCAGCCAAAGATATTCTGGTACAAAAACAAAATGGATCTCTCTGGGGATGCCAAATACCGCATGTTCAGTAAGCAGGGTGTGTTGACCCTGGAGATCCGGAAACCCACTCCATTTGACGGTGGCTGTTATACCTGTAAAGCTGTTAACGAGTGTGGTGAAGCTGAAATAGAGTGCAGACTGGACGTCAGAGGTAATCAGATATATCTCATGGATAACACTAATACTGCAATGAAGAAATAGTAACAGCTAAACAGAAAAACAGGATAGTTCCCCTTTATCTAACTCTGACTTCTTTGGTGCTATACAAAAAGTTTGTTAATTACACGCACCAGCAAGACTGTGTTTTTCATTCTAAACTGTTATGACAGAATTAGGTTACTTGCTAAGTAATACAGGTCTGAAGGTGGACAATTATTACGCTTCTGACTTAATATTTCTTGAGAGGATACTTAGCACTGGAATGGAGGTCTGTCTACAAACACTGCATTGTGGATAATTTTATTATCCTTTGTGGCATACTCCATAATTTAAAATTTTGAGTCATTAGCCACTAGACATATGTAAAAGGTAGCGCCTGCTACATCACAAACATTTTTCAAACACGGATTTTGTTTGTTTGTTTGTTTGTTTTTTGTCTAAAGGGGCAGGGGGAAAGAAGTCACATTTATAACACAGTAAGAAAAAGTGACTAAATATTTTTGGTAAAGCTGCTCCTAATATATCTATTTGCCAATATGAGCCTATATAGCACCACTGTAGATGCTCCTAAAAACCAGAAAAAGCTGTAAAAGTGACCTGCATAACAGCCATTGATGGAGATCCATCTTCAGCATGGCAAGCCGGAAGGTATTTCTACACAGCGCAGAGTTCAATATTCTGCTCCGTGCTAAGTCAGGAATGTGTACGCAGTACACCTTGCAGCGCTGGGCACTGATGTCCTCACTGAGGTCTCGGCAGCAAGCAATTTTGCTGCATTAGTACGATGCTGAACTCAGACTAAGCACTCAGAAATGCCTTGCTGATCCACGCAGCAGCATGTTAAGACACACTACTTTCAGTTCAATGGCTAGCTCAAGTATTTCTGTTCGCTGCTATACCATACAGGGTAAACATGGCTCAAAGCTTAATATTATCATCTTCTGAAGCTTGCTAATGTTCCTACATTACATTTCCTTGGAATTATCAGATAAAAGCAACTACTATAAAGCTTCCATATTTCACCTTCAGCACCAAGTCTCAATTTAAAATTAGCACCCTTTAATGTCTGATAATATCTTAAATCTTTTTTTCATTCTCCAGCACCTCAGTAAAACTCTGAATCTCAATTCATCTGCAAGTCAAGGTATGAATCCAAATAATTCAGTTGGATAAAGGAGCAATGTCTGTTTGGTTAGATACAAGATTAAACAGTGGCTAGATATTAATGTTAGAGACTTCATAGGTTTTTTTAATAATATTGGGGGGGGGTGCTTGTTTTGCTTTCTGTTTGTTTTTTCAATAATCATACTAAGATCACATTCCTGCAAGGTAATTTATTTGCTTTATTTTAAAGTCAGGTTTTCATGGGTCTGTGCCAGTGTATAAATCTGTAAGAATAACAGAATAGTTTGTAGACTTTTTTTCTTAACTCACTATAAGCACTCCCTCTAGGTGACTGTTATTTACTAATATAGAGCTAGCTAGTTTCCATAATCCATGTGCATTACTTTAACCAAGCAAGCAGAGTTAAAATTACAATGCATCTAGAAGTGTAATGTACATTTTAGACCTTAAAAAAAATTAAGTAACTATAACAAACAATCAGGTAATGCATTTGACAATAAATCCTTCTCCCCATTCTCTGTCTCAGCATTGGAACTGAACTTGAAGAAAAATGAAGAAATTAATGAAGGATAATCAGTTATGTTTAGGAGCCCTACTCATCTTAGAAGTCATTTAATATATGTGTACTAGGAGGTGGCAATGTTTTGTAGTGTCCTGCTTACTCAGCATATTTTCAGACAATATTTCCTCTTCTCATACATCTGTTTTAGTTACATTGCCCCGGTCTCCATGTGAAGAAATTCAGGGAAATCAAGACTAAACTTTCCCCCTATTACATGCATCAGATATGTCTGAAAAAACCCAAATATTAAAATTACGTGCAAACCCAGTCCATTCCTAATGTCTGAAACTAACATAAATTCCCCACTTCTACAGATCCCTCCATTTTATCAGAATTTTGACATTCTTCATAAGAAACAATTAGCTCAGAATAATGAAACATTAACAAATTATTTTTAATATTTAGTCACTTTTCATTATACTCATCTCTGCTCAATAGAAAGTAACTTTCATTCCTACTGCTTTTACTGTCAGTCCTTGAAATATCCACTTCTGTGCTCTTGAGCGGATTTTTGCAGAACCAGGTCTGAAACACACCATTCTGGAATCTCCAGCTAAGGCTACTGTAGAGAGAAGCTTTGTATAGAAAATAGATTCTTTGATAATTTCTCACTACTGGTTTTCTAGCTTTCAAAAAAGACACCAGCAGAGAATTACATTTACTAGACGTTTCTGCAACCAATCATAGACATCATACTAATGTACAGAGATAATTTTGTACATCAGACGAAACAGTGACAGATGTAGCAAGGAAGATTATTGCACATAAATAAAAAATTTCAGAACAAAAAGCTTGTGATGAATGCAATAAATTTACTGTCATCAAATATTACTGAAGGTTTTTGAAAGCCTATGAATGGTATGTATGTATTTTTGTAGACAATTTTGTCTAATCAAATGACAGAATAGCATTTCTGGCTTCTCACCTACTAGTTTGAAGAGTATTTGGGGTGGGTTTTTTTTTTCAGATGTGCAGTAGTTATTAGTTTCTGTCTGGAAAGTCCTTTTTCATGATCACAGTACAAGAGAAGGTGGGAAGATGAAGTTAATCCAGGAAGCATCACCTTTTGGAAGAATTAACACAAGCAAATTGAAGTAATATTACTCCCCTGTCTCCAACACGCCAGTTGAGATGGGAGGGTGTGTCTGACACAGCGTGTTAGTTGTACTAAACAAGCAAATATATCTTCATAATAAAACACTGATGATAATGAGATATGTGGTTTGACTATTTTGTTACGGTATCAGAATAAAGAAGGGTACTCCTCTAAAACCAAAGTCAGTTTAGATGATCACTTTAGTTAATGCATGACCTGATCTTAGCACAAGCTGATGATCTGTGCCCTTGCTTTGCTCCTTAAATTACAAAACTTAAGTGATACAGTGGGGTGAAATGCAAGATAAATGGATTGAGCTCAAATTGTCCCAACAGAATGCTTAAAATGGTATAAAGTGCCTTACCTGTCAGGAGTTTATCTTCCTGTTCCCTCTACAAGAGGCAACCGTTCTCTTTATTGACTTATTCAGATTTGTCTAAGCTTATTATATGAAATTATATATAAAAATTAAATTCTACTTGTTGAAAATTATAGCGAGGGGCCAAGAGGTTCCCACATATTATTGTAACAAAGCTTTTCAATGCAGGGCAAGACATTTAAAATAGCTTCAGCACACCTCACCTGCAGGTTTCATTCCTTCTAAGAAAGGATTATTGTGCTAGCTCTTCCAAGGGAGATCTACAATTGAGTAGAAGGAATAAAAATCCAAGAAAATACTAGTTGATAGCATTTTTTCCTTAATTTAATCATACAATGACCATTTGAATGAGAGCAGCAAGGAAAAAGATGTTTCTGGAAATCAGAAAAGTAATTTATATTGCTTTTATCACAATTTATTTGAAATAAAATCCTTTTATGTGTTTAGGAGAGAGGTTTGCCACTAACATATCATCTTGGAGCAGATTTAGAAATACAAGCCATTCCTGTCTCCTTACGAATTAATTTTGCAAGAACAGTCTGCTGAGATTAAAAATAGCCCCGCTGATACCTTTCAAGTGCTTCCCAACCACAGAACTCTATTTTAGGGAAACAAAAGCTGTCAGTGAGATATCCTTTACTTGTCTTTGGGCAGGGTCCACACAGCACTCTGCATAAGCAACACATCTTAAAACAGGTTGAACTGGTGAAAGTTTAAAAGAAATAGATAAGAACAGCTTCATTTTTAGGTCCAGATATGGAAAAAGTAATCTAGGACCTGCTTTCTGTGACAGACAGAATGGTTGACAATCAGCAGCCCTAAAACCACAGATAACTGTCATAGCTATGGACATGTTTCAGTCATAATTCTGTATTAGGATGTCTTGATGGAAGAAAAAGTGACTAATCCAATATATATAAAATATCAGTGGATATGAAAATGTATGGAAATTGATAAAAGGTGGAAAAAATCAATGGAAATGTGCCCACTTTTTCACCATGGGTACTAATCTGAACTTGATTTTATGTTCTTTAGGGTTTATTTAACAAACATAGAGAGTATCACACATAGTTTTCATTGTTCTGCTTGGAAGTATAAATTGTGGGGACCAGATGTATGAACCCAGGATGTGGATGAAAGTAATTTAACCATCAGTAAGGTTGCATTTGCTTGGTATATGTCATCATGCTAATAATTGACCTAGTAATCCAGAACTACTCCAGGAAAGCATGATCATGAAAATACTTATTACTAATATAACTCTCAAACACAGTTTTGTTCTTTACTGCTGGCTTACTGCTACCAAACCCAGAAAAAAAAAAAAAAAAAACGGAAAATCCAAGCTTTTCTTCTGCTTTATAGGTTAGCTCATGTATAAATTGCCTTTAAAAACACAAGTACAGTAGACTGTGATCATTGGAAAGTCCTTAAAAATTTCTACCTGGAAACAAGACTTATTCTTCCTCACTAGTACAAGGGGGGCTAGCAGTACTGTGTATTTACAAAGCATGGTATTTATTACCTCTTGTGCTTTTTTGTTTCCTACAGCACTGAAAAACTTCAACGACTTAGACAATTTGTTAGGTTACAAGTCTGTTTTAGGCAAATTTATTGATTTTTAATATCAGATTAAATGGTTGACCATTTCTAACAAGGAGTGTAAGGAAGAGCTGCTGCTGGGAGCTATCACAGAACAGCAGAACCAAGACCGGCAATATTTTCTGTTCCCTCTGTATCACTCTTCAGCACTCCAACAAAAATAATTTGATTTAAATGCAAAGGGAGTAAGAGTGGAATGAGGCTGATGCATGACAGACGATGACAGAGAGCTTGGTAAGAAGAGGAGAGCGGAAGATGACTCTGACTGGAAGCTGGAAGGGGGCAGACACTGGTTGAGCAGGAGACTGGGGAAAAGCATAGGTCTGAACTGCTTGGGCAAAGAGGCTGGAAGATGATGCTGGTCAGGGAGGAGAGAAGAACATATGAAAAACCACTAAAGGACATAGATGGAGATATCTGATGAGAAATTGAGGTACAGAACTGAGCCTTGACTGGCTGAAGAGAGTGTAGGCCAAGAAACTGCACGGAAACGGTGAGGAATCCAAGCAGGGAGACAGGTAAAAAGGGAAGACAGCACTTTGATACCAAGAGCACTGCTGACAGACTGGCATTCACTAGAGTTAGTAAGAGAAACTGGAAATGCAAAAAAGAGTGGAGGGAATGGAAATACAGAACTAGAGTTTTCGTATACTTGAAGGAAGCAACTGTTCAGTTTTATTGGTGTATTTCCTGCTACCGTTTGTTCCTTTTTATGTGTAGCTATTCTGGGAGAAGGGGATTTCTATTTCTACGTAGGTTCCTAAACCACATTTATCACTATAGTAACTGTTGCAAACAGAAGCAAGACTGTTAGCCCTTGGCTGTTGTATATATGATTCTTTGTTGGACTGATGCTTTAAAACAAAATTAGTCAATGCTAGAACTACTATGCCGCAGAAGTTTCAAACGTTGTACACAAGTAAACAGAAAATTAACTTATAACTTACAATTATATCAAGCACATATAAACAAAAAATTAAATTATGATTTACTAACCTTGGTATAAATGTTCAGCTGATTTTTATCATATCTGAGGACAGAATCTGCCTGAAAGGTCCTCTCTAAGTCTGGTTTGTACTCAACTGCCCTCAAAGCTCATCTGTCACCAACATCAAGCTTTTAAACCTTCAGATACAGTGCTGGAAAGAGAGGTCACATAGCCACTATTATTTAAAGCATCATCTCATTTCTACAATTTCAGTGAAACAGCCACAGTGGGAATGGCTGTAGGAACTCAAAGCTGCTGTTCACACTGAACATCTTCCAAGGGTGTTACAGGGTAGGGCTGTACGTGAAGCCATTGCTGCTAGCAGAAGCAAAGTAATACCACTCAGCTGTTTGGAAATGTCTCGCCCTCATGAAAAGCAGC